TAAATTAATTATGCAGATTAATAATATCAGCTAATGCCATTATTTATCAGTTCAGCTAATGTGTCTATTATCATATGATGTATACAAATGCATACAGATTTTGAAACGACATATGACAATTCTTAATTTATTAAAATGACATGACAAACTGACATGACATTGTCAAAATATTAGTATAGACAGACAGATTAATACCACATCAATATGGTATGTTTTCTAACAAAAAAAATCATACCATACTGATTCGATAATTTACTGTACTATAATACCTAGTCAGAATGGTATGGTTTGTTAAATTATAAACCTATCCTCTTATTATATATAATGGCTGATGAGTGTGGTACGTTTTCTTAAATAAATTCATACGACTGATCAGGTCACACTATTATACTGATATTAAAATTACCCGCTTAAGATATAGATTGAATTTCAAAATATAAAAGCACCACTCGAAAATCGTCAGTAGAATCAAGTTAAAAATAATTCAAAGATAACTCAAAAATATCTTTAGTTTTTACTTAATAAAGTACTCTTAAGAATCGCTATAACTTTCATCACTAAAATCTTTGTAATAAACTCTGTTATAAAATTGTTAATAAAATATCCATTACACTTATAAATATAAAGCTTTCATTTACAATTATTGTTGTATACCTTGTCATTCCTGAAAATATAAGATCATGTCCTTGTCGCCACCTTCAGAAGAATACTTTCCAAGCCGTGATGCTCTTATTGATCATGCCCAAACTCATACCTTTAGTCATGGGTATGCAGTAAGCATTAAAAGATCTGAACAAGACAAGTTTGTTTACTTGCAATGTGACAGAGGTGGCAACTACAGTAATAGATTGAACCTTACTAATAAAACCCGCCAGAGAGCTACGAGTACACGATTGATAGGGTGCCGTTTTGAGCTATATGGAAAGAAAATGGAAGATGGTCAATGGTATTTAAAAATAAATAACAAAGAACACAATCACGAGGCATTAGAAGAAATTTCAGGCCATCTATCCAGTCGTCAATTAAATAAAGAAGATTAACAAAAAGTCAAGAAAATATCTAAAGCAGGCATTTATCCTCGAGAGATACTCTTTACTCTCCGTCAAAGCAACCCAGATAGTTTAGCAATCTCAAAAACTATCTATAATGCTCGACATAAGATTCGACGTGACAATCTTCAAGGTCGCACACCAATCCAGGCTCTTCTTGACAAGCTTGTAGAAGGGAATTTTGAACATTATTATCAATATAATCAAGATGAACATTTACTCATCTTTTTTTTGCACATCCAAAATCAATCATACTTACCAAAACATACAATTCTGTTCTCTTAATAGATTGTATATACAAAACCAATAAATTTAAAATGCCATTGCTTCATGTTGTTGGCATGACAAGTTTTAACACTACATTCTCTTCCTGCTTTGCATTCTTAAAATCGGAGCAGGAAGAGGATTACAGATGGGTCCTCACTTGCGTTGCTCGCATTTTAGGTGATATCCCAAAGCCCCAAGTTATTATGACTGACCGTGAACTAGCTTTGATGAATGCAATACAAACGGTGTTTCCTGAGTCACATAATCTTCTATACATTTGGCATATCAATAAAAATGTGCTAGTTAACTGTCGGTCTCATTTTCAAACCAATGATGAATGGTTAAAATTCATGGAAAGCTGGTCCAACCTTATAAAATCTAAAAAAGAAACTGATTTTGAAAATAACTAGGAAGAATTAGTAGAAAAATACAATGAAAAACAAACGGTTATTAAATATTTGAAAGAGACATGGTTGCCATTTAAAACAAATTTTGTAAGCTGTTGGGCAGACCAGTATTTGCACCTAGGTATTTAAATTTTTTTTTTATTTTTTATAACCTTTTTCGAACCTTTTTTATTTCGTAATTCTTCCTTTTCTTTTCCTTTTGAATTCTTCTTTTTCTTCCTCTCTTTTATCATTCTTCTAGTATTTTAGTTCCATTTTTATTTATTTAATTTTTTTGACCTCTAGGTAATGTGACGACATCGTGAGTAGAAGGAGCTCATGCGATGCTAAAAACATATCTTCAAGTGTCAATGGGTAATATTCATATTGTCTACAAAAAAATTTCTTTGGTGATAAAAAACCAGTATCAAGAAATTAAAACCAAGTCTTCCCAAGAGACGATTCGGATACCCCAGACTCAAAACAGCTGATTCTATGCGCAGGTCATTTTAAAAGTGTCTACATTTGCATTAAAGAAAGTTCATGAACAATTTTTAAAAGTATCTAATGCAACACCAGAAAATCCACTATGTCCTTATAGTGGTACTTTCAGATCATCAATGGGCCTACCTTGTTCTCACACAATCTAGGAACTTCTTGATAATGCCGAATGTTTACAGCTTGACGACTTTCATCAACATTGGTGGATCCAGCAACACCAATTGTCTCAGCAAGAACCACCTGAAACTGAAGATTCGTTATATCAAAAGTGGGAAGATTATAGCAATCAATTTACCTCTTTATCAATTCACCAAAAAAGTACGGCTCTGGAAAAAATGTCAAGCTTATTTCAAGAATCAACTGTAATTATACAAGATCCAGAGGTTCAACAAACAAGAGGACATCCAGTGGGTGCAAAAAACCGTCCTCAATCATTCACTAAAAGAGATCCGTCCACCTTTGAATTGATAATGTCAAGAAAATGCGGTATATGTCGTGAGATCGGGTACAATAGTAGAACATGTCCTAATGCTGAAAGCTTAGACGAGAATAGTCATAACAGGAGATGTGGTATATGTCGTGAGACTAGGCACAATAGTAGAACGTGTCCTAATATTGAACGTTTGGACGAAGATAGTTAGACTTAGTTAATAATAGCAGTTTTTTTTTATATAAATAGTTATTAGTTTACTTATAGGTATAAGGTATGGAGCTTATTCACGATAGAATAGAGTATATGTAAATGTAACAATCATTTATACATATATACTATAAAAATAAAAATTTGTATGTAACATGCACTGTATTAGGGATGTTAAAGTGTCTGTCCGAAGACTCGGACTTGAGTTTTTAATCATGTGAAGTTGTACAAATCAAGACAGTAACAATAAAATTGATAACGATAAACTGCATATATTGATGTAGATATGCATATTGCTCTCAATTTGGTAAATATCATATAATATTACTGAAGTCGACTTAGAGCTGACTTTAAACGACTTGATTCTAACTGACTCGAAAACCAACTAAACCGAGTTGCTTAGCATCTCTACACTGTATAACTGATCATTTTATACCTACTATATTAAATACCCTCTTCATAATAGACCCCCTCTATTGTTATCCGGGTCTAAACCAGGGTTGTGGAATATAAGAAACCTATAACCGGTAGGATATCCGGCTATCTCAGATATATATAGTGATTTCAAAGTTATACATAGTATTAGAGGCTTGTTACATGTCACGTGCGATCAAATTATATGATCAGTGATATTCGGAATGCAATGTAGATCATGGTGGAAATAGCAATTTGCCATGGTGAAAATAGCAATTCCCTATATTTTATATTATTTAAGAATTTTATTCGAAATATTTATTTTAATATATTAATATAGTTTGAATTAATTTAAATTAATTCGAACCAATTCAAATTTTTCTAAAATGATAAATATTTTAATTTACTTTCTATTATTGTCTGCTTATTTTAATTTTACAATAATAATAATATTGAATTAGTTTAAATTAATTTAAATTTATTTGAATTAATTCTATTTAATTTAAATTTTATAATAATATATATTTTATATTATTTGAGAATTTTATTTGAAATATTCATTTTTCATATATTAAAAAAGGTTGAATTAATTTAATTTAATTCAAACCTGTTCGAATTTATCTAAATTATTTATAATTTAATTTACTTCTTACTATTATTTGCTTATTAAATTTTATAATAATGCTTATTATTGAATTAGTTTAATTTTATTTGAATATATTTAGATTAATTTTATTTGATCAAAATCTAATAAATTATTATTAATTTATTATCTTATAAACCCTTACATATCAATTACATTAGAACATATAAAATTTATTTATTGTAAATTAGATTATAATAATTTCTAGAATAACAATAGAATAATGCACTATATATATTTTTAGAGTAATTTACTATAAATAGCTAATGATTTTTTTAATCAGATTAAATTTTGTAAGGTTCATCAAATTGAATTAATTCAAATTATACTAGATTAATTTAAAAAAATATGAATAGGTGTGAATTTTATTAAGTAAATTCACAAAATTGTGATAACAAATAGGGTTTAGCAAGTTATTTTGATCATAATAATAGTTAAATTATCAACATTGGTCTAATATTTGCTAAGATAGCTTAATTATAATATTTGTGCAATATTTCAAATTAGACAAATTAATTTTATTTAATTTAAATTTTATAATAATATACAGTATATTTCATATTATTTGAGAATTTTATTCAAAATATTTATTTTAATATATTAAAATAGTTTGAATTAATTTAAATTAATTTGAACCAATTTGAATTTTTCTAAAATGATAAATATTTTAATTTACTTTCTATTAGGGAGCTGTCAGATATCAGCTGATATCATAGGGTAGGGGGGGGTATAAAAATATCTCAGGTTTAATTTTGGCCGGCATTAGTCCATAATTCCGGCCAACCATATAATCATTCTTTTAGCCAATCGACATTCGGCATATATCACGTGGTCATATCATAATTAATATGATTGGCTAGAAATCACGCAGGTACGTACGTACGAAATACATCGTTGGCTTAGATCTTTTATTTAAGTTGCAATTTAATTTTGATTTATTCGAAAATATATATTTGAAACACGAAGTGACAAGACTATAAAATATAATATAGTTTCCTCCATACTCTATCTTACTTTATTCAAGATCTTGTCGTCAGAAACTTAAATTTTCAAAAACTGATTTTTTTTTTCTTTTGTAATATGCACAGTCTCCACTCTACTACTCGTCGTCTGAAACACAGCCACGATTGTTAGTTTCTGGTGTAGTTGAAGTCAAACTCAAGCTAAAATCGTCAAGTGAGTTTGAAAGTGTAGTGCGTTTATGTTTTTTTTGTTTCATATGTTCAGATTTTTTATGAGTTGTGACCATCTTGAGCGTAGGGAAATATTTTCCACAGAAAGTGCAGCAGAGACGATGATGCATTTCAGGTGAAATAGATGGACAATGGGCGTCATAAGCTGGTAATTTTAATATATCGGCATACTGTAAGATATGAACTGGATTAAGGTAATGTCCATCCCGGCCTTTTGAAACTGGTGGAAGAAACCCATCATTTTCTGCAAGAAAAGCAGCAGATTCTTCATGTCTTTTAGGATGGCAACAAGTCAGATCATCGCATTTTCGAATATCGAGGCTGTACTGACAAATTCGCGTATGCCTTTCCAGCCATTTCCAAAAAGTCATTGACTCTTCTTCATTGTCTTCTATTTGAAATGGCGGAAGGTTATCTTCAACATACTGGGTTATAACATTCTTACCGAAAATTAAGTCTCTGCTCCAGAGTGTACACAAGGTTTCTCCAGCATGACGAAAGTTTTTTTTGGCAAGTTCTTGGTTAATAACTTTACCCTGGCTATCCAAGTGAGAACCAAAGGTATCTATTGGTAAAGTTATACCTGCAAGCTTTCCAGAGAGTGTGCACATGGCCCGTTCAACAGGGTTATAGGCCGACTGGCCAGGAGCGTGGGTTCTTACTGTGAGATAGTCAAGATCAAGAAATTGAAACAATTTACAATATCTACAAATGTTTTTCAGATGCCTAGGATTTTCGTCGGGCCCCCCGTCAACGAGAAGAACCCAAATCGGTTTAACCTGATTATTATTTTTAAAAATATTAGTAAAGGATTCTTGGTTGGTAAGTTTAATTAGATCTGCCATATGTGTATTAGAACTTGTGCCGATGTTATATTGGGGACGAACAAAAATACCCAACTGGCCTTTGCGAAGTGTATCATTAGAATCTGAAGGGTCAATGGCAAGGTATACGGAGGGAATAAGTTTTTGATGAGCTCCTATAGGAAAATCATGATCAGCAAGGGTGACAGTTTCATGAATAGTTTGCATTGTTTGAAAGGTTTTGCCAACAGCTGGGATTCCAAGTGGAACCTTCGCTTTGTCATCTTGTGAGATGACAACAGAATGATGGGGAAACATTGCAGCGAATTGTCTAACACCTTTAACTGAAGCGAGGCAATAGTGCTCATCAGTGTGTTCTTTTTTTTCTGATCTAGAAACATTTGTAATAGCTACTAAGGCAGGATGGTGGTGCGCTCTTGCGGCAATACTTGAGGAGTTTCGGGGCAAAAGGTAATTATTAAGCGTAGTCCTTGAAAGATATTCATTATATTTTATTTCTAGTGCTGAACGAAGATGGCTAATCGTTCTTACTTTAATAATTTCACGCCTTCGTTTGCTATGTGCCTTTCCAAACTCAATACAATCGTGTATATGCTCATGAAGATCTGGATAATCAAAAAGAAGAGGTGGTCGACCAGGGCTATCATATACTACAACTTCCTGATTTTCATGAAGTCTTTTCAATTTTTTTGCATTTGATTTTGCTTGATAGGCTGCATTACGTTTTAAAATACTAATTTTTTTTGTTTCTTCTTCAATTATCCGTTTTACATCAAGAATTCGATGTAATATATCATTTTTGAGCTGAAGATCACTGGTTGCTTCGTAGATTGCTTCCAATTCAACCAATTTTTCAGCATTTTCCTTTTTTATAGCAAGTGATTTTTTTTGTGCTGCTGCATTTTTAGAGACCGTTTCATCTACAACAATCGTGATAGATGACATGGATATTGTTTCTTGGACTGATGATACTTGATTTGAATTACAAAATAGGTAAGAAACATAAGATTGTATAGGAATAGGTGTAGTAAGATATTCTCTAATCTTGTCATCAATTTCATTTTTCTTTTTTTTTTTAACAAGTTTCCACGCTTCCGTGGCTTCTGTGCACAGGTTTTTTTTTGGATATGATGGATTTCCTGCTTTGATCATGCGATAGTATCCAAACGCGTTTGTAAAATGATGATATTGCGTTTCTGGATTTTTGTAGATAGATTTTTTATCATATTTTGGTGTGGAAAAAAATTGTTGCATTTCATATAAAGTGGTTGCGGATATCAATATTCGACATCAATGATTTAGGGAGGTATTTATTTTTATGTCTTTATACTGGTTTGTTTCAAGTACTCACAATTTTTTTATTCTATGATACGCTTTTGTATATATGCGTGAGGAAAACAACTACCTTGACACAGGTTTGTAATCCATTTTTATTATTCGTTTATTACACCATTTACAAAATAAGGTAAATGATCTTTTGATTTATTTTTATTTAGCGACAAATATATATTTGATGAAATTGGGTATTGTGATAAATTAAAATCTCATGGCGCTGTGATTATAATTGAATGATTTATTTAATATTGATTTATTACATAAATTGATCTATTTAGATCACTGCGTCAGAAGATTTGTCACAGTACCAACTTCGCCGGATCATGTTTATAAATAGAAGCCTTTTTAGAAAATGTGATTGTAAATATTTTTAAGAGCGAAGCCACGGGTCATATTGCTAGTTAGTTGATCACGTTTCACATTAACAATCTGATCACATTAATATAATAGATGCGAATTGGGTTGTATGACAATAAAAAAAAAATTATTTAGACACGACTTATATGTTTAAGGATTAAGTGTTTACAAAATGAGCCCGAATGACGATTATTAGCAAATCAAATTTATTTTTATTATATATATCGATTATTTTTATTCATGTAACCTAAAGTGTTATTTGATTGGCTGGGCGAATATTTGACGTGATAACATATCTCAGGTAGGGGGGAGGGGGGGCATCTCTATAATAAATCGATCTCAGCTAATATCTGACAGAGCCCTAACCAACTACATGATCTCCAGATCCCTCCTATTTCTACTATATTTTAACTTACTAATGACTGGCTAGTAGCAGCCAATACTGAGTGGAAAAAATTATACCATACATGCAATCTAGAAAATATCAGACAAACATGTTACCAAATTATAGAAGCTATCTCCAAGAAATACACAAAACTTCAGTCAAACCCTATATTTATGCTCAACAGCATTCTCAACCAACAAAAGGACACTGTCAGATTCAGTAACATCAAGCTAGACCAGGCAGTTATTACAGACCCACACTCAATCAAGACCCACATTCAGCAACACTTTAACAATTGGACAGCTCTTAGACCAATAAACCAAGACCTATTTGAAGAAAACTGGTATACAGAGTATAGACCCAAACCACAGATCCTATTTACCTGGTATACAATAGCACTTTTTGACTTCATCCAAGAAAAGATACTTCACACCCTTAACTAGCTGCCAAACAATAAGGCCTGTGGGCCCTCTGGAATAAGCTACAAAATGCTCAAGCATGCAGGTCCTAACTTCCTACAAGCCATCACAGCATTGCTTAACCGATGCCTCTCTACCCAAACAATCCCCAAACAATAGAAAAAAGGAAAAATCTATCCAATCTTCAAAAAACCTATTTTCGATAGCAATCTAGCTAACACTAAACCCATCAGCCTTATTGAACATATAGGCTAAGTGCTGGAAAAAGAACCAAAAATAACAAAATAAAAGATCTTCAGAAAATCAATTTTTGTGTTGTAAATCTTATAATTGATTATAAGAAAACACAAACTTTAAAGAACTATACTGCAAAATTTTATTAACACAACTACCTTTGTGTTTTAAGTAAAAAAAGATCCTAGCCTTATTCTAAATTAATTTATGCAAAAAAATCTATTTTGAAAAAATTGTCATTTTTGGTCCTTTTTCCAGCACCTAGCCCATATCAAGAAACTATATACAAAACTCCTTACCAATCGCCTTAACAAGATCTTATCTGAATACCCAATCCTTTCTCCCTTCAATTACATTGCACTCCCAGGCAACTCCACCTCCATTCCAATCCATATCCTTAACAATATCATAGAAGATGCAGTGTGTATCCCCAACCAACTCTGGATTCTCTCACAAGATATGAGCAAGGCCTATAACTTAGTCAACTTTGATCTATTTCAAAAAGCTCTATACAGAATTCAAATGCCCCAACCACTTATCAATATTTTATCTGATCTTTTTACTGACCGCACCAACCAAGTTATTACTAACCTTGGTTTCACCAACCACTACTCAGTACAAAATAGCATCAACCAAAGAGAAACTATAACACTATTATTCTGAAGAATATACTATAACCCATTAATCACTAACATATCACTTAATCTATCTGGATATACTATGCAAACATCATAGCAATCTAGCCTTACCTTATCTTCCTTTAAATATTTATTATACTTGATATCTGTCCTGGCTTATATGGACAACACTCTCTGGATAGCCCAAATCAAAGAAGACCTCAAAAAAATAATACATATAGCCTCATCCTTCTACAAGATGGCCAACATTCAGATTAACCCCTTCAAGTCAGTCTTTATATCAAACCAACCAGACGCAAATATCTCATTTCTACAAACTAGTCTAGCCTTAACTCTTCCCAACTAGCCATTCAAATTTCTAGAATACTAGTTTATACTAGACAACAAATATTCAAAACATATCAAACTTATCCAAGAAGAGGCTCTCAATCTTGCCTACACAGCCAATACCAAAAAGATAACAGACAAACAAATAACCTATATTACTAACACTGTTATAACTTCCACTATCAAATACAGAATTCACAATATTATAATACCACAATCTACATGTCTAAAAATTTTAAAAAAGTATCTTACAATAGCCAAACACAAAGCTAATCTCTCCTAGTCTACACCTAATAGCACAATGCTCAATCACAATATTTACAACATTCACAATATCTGAGAAATACAGCTTTAGCACTATATTAGCAACTTCTTTCTCAGAATCAACAACACCTCTACTCTTGGAACTACTACCCATATCAGACTTCAACAGCTGCAAAATAACCTTTGGTCAACTACTAGCCTACTTCAACATCCCCGGCCTATCATTGATGGACCCAACAAATATACCACTACCTGTAAACTTATCTAACTACTACAACAAGCTGGTATAAGCATGGTAGCGAACCCCAGTATAGCTTGGCTACAAAT